AAAATTATTGTTATATTTTTTAATATTTTTTAATTTATTAATAGTTATTTTGTTAATTTCAATATTCATTAAAAAACTAAAAATTATCTAAGTAAATAAATAAATAAATAGAAAGTGGTATGAAACCTAAAACAAAATTCGAAACCATGTGTAATTGCACCAAATCAGAAGTCCTTTTTCAATCTGCGTTTTCACTTTGGATGAACTGCAAAGCCTCGAGGTGGGTCCTCGAGGTAGACACTCCGATACTTAAGTCAGCAATAATCAGATCTACCTTTTGAGGATAATTAAAGAGGAGCTTTAGGTCGGTTTCAATTACCTTTTTGAGGTGGCCCCTGGGGGTATTTATAGGCCTTCGTGAGGTGTCCACGTGGCTTGCTTAACAGGATAATCGGAGTGTGACGTGTCCCTTAAGGCGATAAATTCAGGACCAGGAAATTAAGAGAAATTTTGGTGTTGGCATGCTCACCGTAACCGTGATACAACTGTTTGACTCCGAAGTGCTTCACTTCGGTTATTAAGGAATTATAGCAGTACGTCCAAGGTCTTTAACCTCAGACCTATCCTTACACTATTCCCCCCTCGAAGTCATTCACTTGTGAATGATTAGTATGGAAGATGAGTGTAGATGGAGGTAGTCAATATAAAAATGTATGACATGAAGTCGTGTTTTATAGCTGTAGCTGAAGTAAAATTGCATGACATGGAGTCATGTGTTATGGCCGTAGCCAAAGTAATATAGGTGACGTGTGGTCACTATGGTCGGAACCGAAGTAAAATAGGTGATGCATAATCACTATGGCAGGAGCCGAAGTAAAATAGGTGATGCATAATCACTATGGCAGGAGCCGAAGTAAAATAGGTGACTTGGGGTCACTATTGCCGGAGCCAAAGTAAAATATGTAACTCAGGACCACTATAGTCGGAGCTGAAATAAAATATGTGACTCGGGGTCACTATGGCTGGAGCCGAAGTAGAACTAGTGACTCATGGTCACTATGACCATAGCCGAGGTAGAACTGGTGACTCGGTGTCACTATGACTGGAGCCGAGGTAAATAATGATGGCCTATCCTTACACCATGCAAAATTTTATATAAAATATTTTTGTTATACTCACCTACCTATCAGTTTTAGTTTTTAGAT